GTATTTAATTTATAAATTGTAATAAATACTATAATTAATTCTCAATTAATTAACATTCATATTCATTTAATTAATATTAATTAGAATTTTACATTGAAGAATGTAGTTCATTATCATGTATATTAATTAGCATTCAGTTTCACTTAATTGAAAATTAAATTATATTCATTTAATATAAATGATTTAACATCAATTGTCACGTATATATTTCTTGGTATTAATTATAAATTAATTAACATTCACGTTAATTCACGTATCGTATTTACCACCTATTTTCATTTATGTATTTAGTTATAATTCTAATACTTACATTTAAGTATACATTTCATTATTTACGTTTATTTTTAGGGGTTTGCATTTCTCTCATATTTAGAATAAAATGGTATATGGAAGGTTAAATATTACTTTCACAGTACTTATAAAACATTTTAAAATAACGAGCGCACGTTCAACTCTGATTAGTAATTCTAAATATCATAAACAATTGCTTTCCACATGATTATTGGAATGACAATTTATAGTGAAAACAAAGCAGGGGCCTTTGAAAAGAAATTAATTAAAGTACGAAGGGAAATGTTAATTTGAGTAAAAATACCGTAAACAGAGAGCATTGTGAGGTGAATTGTTGATAGTGATGTCGGCCACGACCTCCAACGCTGTTCTTCCTTTCATCGGTGGTTGTAGGAGGGAATGTTGTTATAAGAGTAATACGTTTGCGATGGTTGTTAATTGTGTGTACACCTCACCCGATCAAAATATTTTGATACTAACCGTGTGCAATGACAAATATGTAGAACCGTTGTACTTCTACGGTTCTCTACGGTGTGAACTTCTATACTAAAATTGCTGCCTTTAAAATAATTTTTTATTTTCAAATATAGTTTGATAGGAATTAAAATTTAGATTTTAGTTTAAATCAAAATTAACAATTAATTTAAATCACATATTTTATGAAATCAATAACTTTTCAATCACACATTTCATCAACTTTTATAAAAAAATTTATTAAAAATTTGATTTTGAACCCAACCAAACAAGGGTATATTTATTTTTGGTTACTTTAGATAAACTTTGAAGATGCGTTTAAACTTCTTATTTTGACGGTATCTAATTATGTTCATAGTCATGAATGAAACTTTTTGTGTGTGAAGATTCATTTAAGCATATTATGATCACAAAAATAAATGTCCAAAATTTACATATAAAAACATTATTATTTTTCTGTGATTTGGAACAGGATTTTCGGGTGAATATATAATTGAATGATAGAAGCCAATTTAGTATTTAAGAATTGTCAATTTTCACTATATATTAAAAGAGGCAAAGTAAAGGTCACACGTGTTGCCATTTTCCATCGTCATCAAAAATCCCTTTAAAAAAAAAAACCCTGAAATTTCTCCAAATTTCCAGCAATGCCGTCCTGCTTCCTTCTCCATTATCTCACGTAACCACCCACTCCTCCTCCATTTCTCACGCAATTGACTTCATCCATACTGCTCTCATCATTCGTCAATCCATCACTGTTAATTCACAGACGTCGAATTGCCGTGTCTATGGCTTCCCTTTCAACATCTTTACTACCCATTCTCTTCCATTGCTCCCAATAGACTAACACCTCAGGTTTGTATTAGATTTTTCACTTTCTTTGTATTATTATATAGCCATTCATTTATAAGTAGTTTGTCACATTTGAAATTGATTTTCGAAAGTATGGGGATGTTGATTTTACATATATATTGTTTTTGTTACGTCTATGAAATTCGCGTCTCTAGCGGGAATGATTCGGCTACAAACCAATGTTTGGTATTCACCTACTCTTGTATTCTTTTTACATCAATATTTTTTCCCTAAGGTTTGAATAATTGAATTCATGGTTAATACTCTTTTGCATAGGAGAAATGTCTGCATTTGATAATGTTGTCAGTGGAAAGCTGAAACTTAGGGGGGAGGGAAAGTGGGTGGAGTGAAGAAAAAGAAGAAGCAAAAAATGCACTACGAGGAAATTTTCGAGCTCTCAGAAAATGAGTTTCGAGAAGGTTAGTTGAACTTACTGAAAAAAGCCTGAAAGTAAATCTTTCACATAGGCAAAACAACTTAATCAATTTGTGGAATGTTAATAGCTGAGGTTGGGGCACATTTATTTTATTTATCTGTGTCCTTGTATTTTTAAAATTGAAATCGATGCTATAGATTAGAGACTTGAGTATGAGGATTAGATGATTTTGATGGGTAAATTTGGGATTTGTCTGGTGAATTTGTATTAAAAATAAAATTGCAAAGAGGCACACGAAGGTGTCTCCTTGCGTGGTATGGAGACACGTTCTTGTGTCTCCTCACGGAGGCACACGGAAGCACCTCCGTGTGTACACGAAGACACCTTGTGTGCGCACGGAGGCACTTCCTTGCGCACACGGAGGCTCATCGTGTGCGCACGAAAGTGCCTTCGTCCAAATTTTGTTTTTTTTTATAACTCCATGGCCCTTTGTGCCTTTGTGAACCAGAAATTATAAAATAGTAAAATAAAAAAAGAAAGAGAGAGACTTAGTAACGGCAGGAGAACTCTGAGAGTGAGTTTTCATTCGACGGTTTATGAGTTTTGTCGTGGCAATTACATTTTATATCAATGTTTTGGTATAATGTTAAAATCTGATATTTTTCGAATGAAAACTCACCCTCAGAGTTTTCCTGTCGTTACTAATTCTCTCTCTCT